ATGATGTCACATTGGGGGAGAGAGTCAGGGAGCACAGCTGGGCTCTTGAACACAGTTACAGCCCACTGCCTTCACAAATACATTCACTTTACACACACATACACACCCATGTTCTTAATTTTTCTTATTTTATAGTTTTACAATACAGTGGTCCCTCGGTTAACAAACGGTTCGATTAACGAAATTTCGGTTAATGAATTAGCTCACATAAGGATCTTCAATTCGGTTAACGAACAAAACTTCGATTAACTAAATCCTTACGACAAACACGTTTTGTTGTGAGCATCAGCTGATAGGCTAGTCCGCCAATACAGTAATCTGTTCTATGTTTGCATTCGTTTCCAATGGAGTAAATATCAAGAAGGTTGTGTTCTTGAATATTTGTGCATTTTTTATATTAAAATTATTGGTCATTCTAAAATTTAGCCATCCAAGCTCTGTCTACATAAAGTTTTCAACTATTATTTTTGGCTCGATATATGTAACTTTATTCATTTATTGAAACTCATTTACATGCACACACTGTCCTAAGGACAAAGCTGTACTGTACATGTAATCAAAATAATGTACAAAATGATTACTAAAATTTTTGTCTAGTGCAAACTATTGCATGTTTGCTTTCAAATTAATCACTGTCTTATAAGAATTCAAGCAATGTAAATTATATTCTCCCCGGTCACTTCTATGACATTTTATAAGCAAAAACCAAAAACTCAATCTAAAGGACATAAATAAACAAATAAATACTTCACTAGACCTTCGGTGCCAACTGTCAAACATGTCACTGTCACCTCCCCTTCCTCCCCCCCACCCCTCCCAACAAGGGTTTGGTGGTTATACAGTAGGCTTTAAGTTTTTATCTTATATAATATCACAGACTAAAGTTAGGAGAATATAATTTGCATTGTTGGAATCCTTGCAAGACAGTGAATAATTTGAATATAAACATCATATATTTTGCACAAGAGATAAAAATTTTATTACATTTTAATAATGTTCATTTTTTCAACTGTAGTTTTGGGTAGATTTACATAAATTTCTTCATTTATTTTCATCCATTTACATGCACACACCATACTAAAAGAAACGTAAAAGAAATAAATAACCTAAGTGCAAACCTGTATTGTACATGTACAGTGGTCCCTCGGTTAACGAAAGCCTCGGTTAACGAACTGCCTCCCATAAGATTCTTAAATTCGGTTAACGAACAAAAATTCGGTTAACGAATTTCTTACGAATCGACCTCAACATGTTTTCGCTTGCACTGGCCGGGCAACCAGCTTTAGTATTAGTCCGCCAATACATTAATTGGGTCTAGGGCTTAAATTCCTTACTATTTTAGTAAATATCAAGAAGTTTATACTATTCAATAATTTTAAAAGTTTAATATTCAATTTTTTAGTCATTTTAACAATTATTGAACATAATTGAAGGTAAAGTGACTAGTTTAATGCGCGGCATCCAGCCTCTTAACACAGCAAACAGGCGTTAGTCTCTCTCTGTTTTCACTGGAGGTAACATCTTGCTTGAGACTCTCTTCAACTAAATGCTTTTTTCTGTGTTTCCAAGCAAATTATTGGTCATTTTGAAATATATTTTACATATTGACAATATATAATGCAGTGCAGTGTTGATTTAAAGAAAATAATCTTGAAATACACCAAGAGAACTAAAATTTTATGGGTGAAATGGTGCCATGGGGTGACTTCTCTTCCACCCCAATGCCTTCTCTTCTTCCTTCTCCTCCACCCCCATTCTAATTCCCATCATCATCCAGGAGCCTTCTACATACACACCTCAAAGTAAGTGAACTTTTCTACCATTTTTGTTGAATTTAGGCAATTTTCGGTGAGCTGGAACCAATTACCCAAAAACCCATTGAAACAATGGTTTCGGTTAATGAATTTTTCGGTTAACGAACAACCTGCTGGAACGGATTGTGTTCGTTAACTGAGGGACCACTGTACTAAATGATTACGGTACTAAAATTTGTATGTCTAGTGCAAATTATAGCTTGTGTATATTCAAATTAATCATTATCTTACAAGAACACCAGCAGTGTAAATTATATTCTCCCAGGTCATTTCACTGGCAATTTTACAAGAGAGAAGCTTAGTCACTTAAGGTCTGTTAAATAAACACACATGAGACCTTCAGCTCCAACTGTCAAACATATCACCTCACCTCCTGCTGCTCCCTCCCTCCCTCCCTCCCTCTCCCCCAGCCAGGGTTTTAGGCTTACAGTTTTTATCTTATATAATATTTCAGACTAAAGTTAGGAGAATATAATTTGCATTGCTGGAATCCTTGCAAGACAGCGAATAATTTGAATATAAACGTCATATATTTTGCACAAGAGATAAAAGTTAATCGCCTGTATCACATTACAGTAGTGATTTAAGAGTAAGAGTGTATATTTACGTACAGTATATATATAGTGATTTAAGGGCGATTTAGGGGAATTTTAGGAGTGTTTCTGACTTTATGTGTTTTTGGCTTTACTTTGTATATTTACTTATCTGTGAGCTGGAACCAATTACCCAATATCCCATTGAAATAATGGATTCAGTTAACGAAATTTTCGGTTAACGAACGACTCTGTGGAACGAATTGTGTTCGTTAACCGAGGGACCGCTGTATATTGTATTTTCCTTTTTTCTCAGCCACATTAGAGTATTGTAATGACTTTTCCACAACCTTTATAGTTTCATTACAATGTAACAATGGCAACATGCCATCTCACAGGCCAACGCTTCCCCAGTTTTTCCCTCTACCAGTAAGTCAAGGTATCGCTACACCAAATTTGACCTAACGTTAAGGCAGGTAGTAGGTAGTAAGCAGCTATCAAACAGGGAGGTACTACTGCCTGGGAAGATATTGGAAGCATAATGTGTTGTCTAATGGTAGAAACTGCTGCCATATGGCATCACGAAAATTATGACCAAGTCCCAGGTTGCTGATCTGTCTTTCTGCCTCATTTACACAAATTATTTCTCTTACTTGGACAACACAACATACATAATGTACAGTGAACCCTCACTTTACGTGGTCAATTGAACCCACGGCGGCCCGCGTAAAGTGAGAAACGCGTAAAGTGAACAACATAACATATGGGATTAATTGAAATAGAGACCAGGCCGACCCCCAAACTCCACTTTTTCAGACACAATACCTACGTTGTAGTAAAAATAACCCCTAAATTTTATGATGGTATGCACACACAATTAATAATTAAGAGAAATATCAATAATATTAGGTTTTTTAACACTTACATTAGTAGAAAAGATGGCTGGGCACACGGGGATGGGGGGTTGGTTCCGAGGCAGAGGGCAGATTATTGGCCCTCACTTGTATCACTTGTATCAATTGTATCACTATCCACCACAGAGGCTTGCAGGGCCTCTTTGTCAAACCCCTCAAAGTCCATATAAGTCCATATCCTCACTATCATTATCACTATCACTGACTTGGGCCGGCTGTGGTGGGTGGCGGGTGAAGAACTCGGTAATGTTTTGATGACTGGGCGACCTTGTGCGCACCCTGCTCGCGCCGCTCTCCGCGTAAAAGGGTACACACACCGCGGAAAGTGAGCATTCCGTGTTCGGCAGGGTACCGCGTAAACGTGGAAACGCGTAAAGTGGGACCGCGTAAAGCGAGGGTTGACTGTATATCGTTTCTCACTCTTGATTTATTTTTCCGTTTTTGTATTTATTTATGGTTATTATTATTATTATTATTATTATTATTATTATTATTATTATTATTATTATTATTATTACCGGTATTATTATCATTATCATTATTATTATATTATTATTATTATTTTATTTTTATTTTTATTAATTTGCTATTAATTTTATTAATTGTTGTAATGATAATAATAGATAATATTATTATTATTAATATTATTATATTTTTGCCCCCCAGGTCCTGATGTGGGTCAGTGACCTGTGCCCGGGTGGGCTAATGTAAAACACTTTTTATCGCAAAACCGAATTAACACTAAGTGCATTAACGCTAGATGTGGGACACCTGTACTTCCTTTCCCAGCATTCATAAACCATATCACCTACCTTTATGTTATTTAACAATTGTGCTACTGTACTTTAAGCAACATTTGTATACTATTTAGACAAAAAATATGCAGCTAACACCATCAAGGAAAAGCTAAATGAAAGTTTAACACAACTGCCATTTGCATAGATGCTGGCTGCTTGGCCTCCCATAGTAGCGTAGACCAGCTGGGGCGCTGCCTCTGCCAACCCCTAACAACAGGGCTCCCCACACTCCGCCTCCCTGCTTTGCATGTTACCTCTCACACACAATGAAATATTTATTCCCCTTTTTGTTTTTGACCTTATGACAGTTATTTCTTTTACTTTTTTTCACACTTTTTATGAAGGATTGTGTGTGCATGTAACTGAGTGAAAATAAATTAAGAAAGATAAGTAAATCTACCCAAAACTACGAGTTAAAAAATAACCTGGTAGCGAGAGGGGTAGGGGATATGGCAACAATGCCAAGTTAGACTCATCACTGTAGCTTAGTCCACCATCCAACTGTCTTATCTCCCACACAACAATTCACTCTCCACTTTTCATTTCTATTACTTATTTTATAGTTTTATATTTTTTGTATTTCTAAGCCACATTAGAGCACTGAAGTGGTATTTATACTGTACAGTATTATATTTTCTTTAATTTCTTATTCAAATTAGAAAATTTAAAAGATATTTCCAAAACTTTTATGGTTTCTTTTTTAAATAAGCACAATGGCAGCCAACGCTTGGCCACAAATTATGAATATTTGATTGCAAAGTATATAAAAAGAGACATGTAGTACTAGAGGTACACACAAATTTAAGAACGTAAATTTGTATTTCGCAAACTATCACAACTCCACTGTACAGTATTATATTCTTTCAAGTTCTGATGCACTTGTTACTTGTTACAAATTAGAAATTAATACATCAGAAGTATGTACAGTATTGTACAATTAAAAAATAATGAATGAGCAACAGAAGCTTTTGTCGGGTAATATATTGTAATTGTCTAAAATTTCTAGATATCCTTATGTAGATTTACATCAAATTAAAATGTGACAAAGGGTGATGACTCACTGATGAAGACAGCAGTATCCTCCCAAGCAACTCCAAGAAGTATCAGACCTCCCACCTTGCTTATTAGACCAATCAGAGCAAGAATCATATCTGGTGCTTTGGAACATAAAGGAAGAATCCCCAGTAGTGCCAAGGCTCCTAAACCATATTTCAGTGAGAAATACCAGGTGTACTTCTCAAATGACCACACAATTGGTGTATCCTTAACATACAAGTAGGAGATATCCATTTCACCTGAAACATAAAATAATGAAATAAGTATTAGAGCATTCAAAATATATGAACACTGTCATGTTATAATAAGTGTAGTATGATTGTTTTCCAAAATATTCAGTACATGCCTTTATACATCATTACACTTCCATGGGCAACAACCCTTGAGGGGATGACCCCATCTCTATACACTAAAGTATAATCAACATTAGAGTTATGGTACATAATATTGTACATTTTGAGTCTTGACCTTCAGCAGTGACTCTGACTTCTAACACTGACATTTAAATTTGTTTATCTGCAGTGAATAAATTTTCAACAAAATCACCAGCACCAGTAAAAGTTATGGTCAGCAAAGGGCAGATCTGGGGGGGAGGGGGGTCCTGGGGTCTGCCCCCCTTCATCAGAAAATTCCAATACTTTTTCTTGAATGCAGTATTGTACTCAGGCATTCTTGTATTATAAAAATTAATTAATATTGACTTCAGAATATCTCCTAATATCAAGTGTACATGGCTTCAAAATGCCCATAATATTGGTCAGATTTCAAAATAATTTCTGGGGGACTTACAGCATCTCCCTCCCCCCAACTGGGTGGCTTGCTGTGCTTGCCATGTTCCCACAACTTCTTTGCCCCCCCCCCCAAATTTTTCTTTTATTCCTGACATACCATAATATTTAACAACAGGCATATAGAAATTTCACCAACACTTTGAAAACGTGATTAACATTTGTCATACTACTGTACTTTAGCTATCAAATTAACATATAGTAACAACTAACACTTGCTCACATTGAAAAACATTTTTTTTTTTTTTTCATTATTAATGACATGAGTTACACCAGCAAATGACCCACTCGAACATTGAAGCCCAAAGTGGATGGCTTATTCAAATGACTGATGTAGCCAATAACCCCCCCAAATTTACATAATAATATCATATTTGTTGACTACAAAGCACTCTGGGAGACCCTCTCAGTATAACAATACAGTATAGGTTACTTTCCTTGAATGAGATCAAATGCTAAACTAGCAATCTACTAAGTACATGACAATCCACTAAGCACCCATATATGGAAACAGGGCCGGATTCAGGAGTGGGCAAAGTGGGCAGCTGCCCAGGGGCCTCCACATATTACAATATAGTAATACCCTGCTTAAAACGGTTTCGCTTAGCGCGATTTCACGTATACGCGGTGCCTCGCCAGAGCTGAACTTTCACTTAACGCGGGTTTTTTCCACGTATACGCGCAGAGTGTCCGGCTCTAGAGCTATTTTTAGATTCGCCCCACCCGCCACCCTGCCTGACTGCCTGCCTGCCTGTTTTAGCTCATAAAATTCATACAAATTACCCGGCCAGAATATAATTTACATTGCTGGAATTCTTACAATATGATGATCATTTTGAATATAAACATCATAGATTTTGCATTAGACATACAAATTTTAGATATAATATTTACTCTGAGTAAATATGTTATTTTTTGTGCAAAATATATGACATTTATATTCAAGATATTCCTGGTCTTACAAGGAATCCAGCAATGTCAATTATATTATCCTAACTTTAGTTTGAGGTATTATTTATTACTAAAAAGGTAAATATTCTGGTTTTCCCACACATCTGGTAGGGAGGGTTGGTGGGGGGTGGGGGGGAGGGAGGGACCGACTGACCATCTGTTACCGTGTGAAGAATATTTTTTTTTTTTTATTAACTGAAGATATTTGTTTTAGCTCATAAAATTCATACAAATTACCCGGTCAGAATATAATTTACATTGCTGGAATTCTTATAATTTGATGATCATTTTGAATATAAACATCATAGATTTTGCATTAGACATACAAATTTTAGATGTAATGTTTACTCTGAGTAAATATGTTATCTTTTGTGCAAAATATATGACATTTGTATTCAAAATATTCCTGGTCTTACAAGGAATCCAGCAATGTCAATTATATTATCCTAACTTTAATCTGAGGTATTATTTAATACTAAAAGTTAAAATTTAGTTTTTTCACCCAACCTTTCTCTTGAAGGGAGGATTGGTGGAGGGTGGGGGGGAGGGTTGGGACAGACCGCGTGGTTGGAAGAGGGGGGAGGCAAGGTGAGGTACTTTGTTGACAGATAGTGTCGTGAAGAATATTTTTTTTTTTATTAACTGAAGATATTTGTTTTAGCTCATAAAATTCATACAAATTACCCGGCCAGAATATAATTTACATTGCTGGAATTCTTACAATTTGGTGATCATTTTGAATATAAACATCATAGATTTTGCATTAGACATACAAATTTTAGATGTAATGTTTACTCTGAGTAAATATGTTATTAATTGTGTGCATGTACCATCATAAAATTAAGATGTTACTTTTACTAGAACATAGGTATTGTGTCGGAAAAAGTGGAGTTTGGGGGTCGGGCCAGTTTCTATTGGAATTAATCCCATATGTTCTGTTGTTCACTTAGCGCGGTTTTCACTTAACACGGTACCCTGTGGGTTTTATTGACCGCGTTAAGCGGGGTACTACTGTATTTTTTTTATTTGTTTATTCATTTGGATTATTTTTATTTTCATTCTTCAAAATTCATGTTTATCTATTCCATCACGTAAAACTATGTTCAGCAAGAAGCGTGATAGAAATTAGGCTAGCTACTCCTTGAAATTCATGAATACCTGGTTTTCCTATGAACCGTATATTTTTAATGAATGCATATGGCTTCAAAATTCTCCAAAGAAGTGTTAAAATTTCAAAATTTTCCCGGGGGGCTTACAGCGCCCCCCAGAACTCCCAGATGTTTAGGCTTGCTTCACTCGCCACCCCACCCTCTTGGGTAGTTATAATGAGGGGGGCCTCCACAAAGATGCTGCCCATGGGCCTCCACAGGTCTAAATCCGGCACTGTATGGAAAACTGATGTTTTGTTTTATATTGGTAAGTTTGAAGACAAAATTTACTGGTACAGTACAGTAATTACCATATGCAGTATACTGGTATTCCTAGAACTATTTTTGCTTTTCTGTTTCACTGATGTTTGTTTCCATTATAATGAGTGTAATTATTGCTCATAAATTTGAGGGAGTGTTTGTAAACAGCCGGTTAGGTTCTAGGAGGCTTGTTTGTAACACTGAAATGTCATGACTCAAACAGTTAACTAAGGTCTTTATCATATGTCAGTTGCCATACAAATTCTTGCCCTGGATCTTTGACATCGACTCCAATTTGGTGTTCTACAATTTGTTTCGTCGCTTCATGTCACTGTAGTGTGGAAACAATATAAGTCAAAGTAAGTTCAGTCACAATTTTTCAAGTGATGCAACATTCAGGCAAAGCTTCATCAAATATATCTGCTGTATAGCAGAGTTGTAAAAAGTACTGGACTTTGTTACTTAAGCTTACATTGACAAAATGTTAGTCAAGTAGAAGTAAAAAAGTATCTCATTCAAAAGTACTCAATTACAGAAAGTAAAAAGTAACAACAAAATTATTAATTGTCTCAAATATTAAATTAAATCCACAATAAATTGAGAAAAACTAGCAAACTAAAGATAAAAATAAGACACAGCATTACACATGTTTATTTGTAAATCTTTCTACTGAGACTAATCAATTACCAATGCTCAAAATTATGGCTGTCCATTCAGAATCTTTTAGGCCTAAATATAAGCCCAGCATGACCTACCGAAAGAGAATACGTTCAGTGACTCTTCTCCCTACAATCTATCGCAGGGATAGTGAACGGGCTGAAAATATATCCATCCAACACTATAATCACTTTCTTCCTTATCCACACAAGTGTCATCGACATGGACTTATGGTCCGCAGACATAATGTTGTCTCTGCTCGCATTAGGTTAGGATACAGACCTATCTGTTAAGTATCTGAGGCAGTGGATGACCCTCACTTCTCTTCCCGTAAACACTGTAACTGTCACAATGCTAACACCCTTCAACACTATTGTCTTGACTGTCCACTGTCAGGGACCTCTTACCACAGGGAGTCACTAACCACTATAGGTCACCACCTACTTATTCGTAATAATTTAAATTTAATTCTTGTATGCTATCCACGTTTTGGTGGGTACTAACTCTCATTATCCTTAAATCATATCAATATTTCTCCATATCACAAGTCATAGCATGTCCTGCGAGACACGAGAACCAGTGTACATGTATTAGTGTCTGACCACATAGTCTTATGACTAGGCTCGTCACCTCCTGGGGTGTAATAAATTAATTAAATAATAAATAATAAGTCCAACATGACTAAACAGATGCTCACAAACAGCAGATGTTAAGCTTGAGAGGTAAGTTGCATAATGTTGGGTTAAGACCTCAGTAGCTCCATTCCATCCCCTGGGCATGCCTAGTAGCTATCAAGCTCCTTCAGTTTGAGGAGTTTGTGGATGAATGTTGCCTCCATAGTGACTGAGTCTGACTACGACTCACCGTGAACTGTTCCTCTAATTGGGGTGTGGCTATAGTGACGTCACTTTTCGATTCTAATTGATGAGTGGCTGAATTTTTCGCACCACGTATCTGGCAAGTGCTGGGGGGGGGGGGCTGGGATACTTTGTTATTTCAGCAGAATTTTAAATACTCTCAGTCTCACACATATGTATAGATACAGGATTTATATCTAAGATGGAATTATGTAAAGTATTTTAGAATCACAGCCTCTTTGAAATTCATTTTAGGTACAGGTATATGCAAAGAGCAACTGACATCTAACAGGAAGACCAAGCCCCTGAAGGAAAGGTGGGGGGAGAAGAGAGGGGATTCAATAGGGAAGGAGGGGGGATAAGAGGGTAGGCTAGGTGAGGTGAGTGGTCAAGGTGCTAATGGACACAAGAAGATCAAAGGGAAAGTCCGCTTCAAGGCCACTGCCACCTGACCTGACATCACCTCACCTCATGAGACCTCTAGGTATGTGACCGCATGGTGTCTCCCCACACCGTACCCTTCACGACTCCACCCACACAACTCTTTTACTATGGCTAATAATTAATTAGTTATAAAATATATTACTGTATTTGTTTGCCACAGACATAAAAACTTTTTGTTCGTGGCATGTAATAAGTAACGATTTTTGTGTTTTTCAATTGTATTAAAGTAAAGGTATTAGAAAACCATACTTTAGTAAAAGTAAAAGCACTTAAAATTTTGAGTACAGTATTACCCCGCCTAACGCGGTTTCACTTAACGCGTTTTATCATATACGCGGTGCCTCGCCAGAGCTGAACTTTCACTTAACACGGATTTTTTCCACATATACGCGGTGAGTGTCTGGCTCGAGACGCTATTTTTAGATTTGCCCCACCCGCCACCCTGCCTGACTGCCTGTTTTAGCTCATAAAATTCATACAAATTACCCGGCCAGAATATAATTTACATTGCTGGAATTCTTATAATTTGGTGATCATTTTGAATATAAACATCATATTTTTGCATTAGACATACAAATTTTAGATAAAAATTTTTCTCAAATTAACTATGTTATCTTTTGTGCAAAATATATGACATTTATATTCAAAATATTCCTGGTCTTACAAGGAATCCAGCAATGTCAATTATATTATCCTAACTTTAGTTTGAGGTATTATTTATTAAAATTTAGTGGTTATCCCACACATCTCCTTGGGACGGTTGGTGGGGGGTGGGGGGGAGGGAGGGACCGACCGACCATCTGTTACCCTGTGAAGAATTATTATTTTTTTTTATTAACTGAAGATATTTGTTTTAGCTCATAAAATTCATACAAATTACCCGGTCTGAATATAATTTACATTGCTGGAATTCTTATAATTTGATGATCATTTTGAATATAAACATCATATATTTTGCATTAGACATACAAATTTTAGATAAAAATTTTTCTCAAATTAACTATGTTATCTTTTGTGCAAAATATATGACATTTATATTCAAAATATTCCTGGTCTTACAAGGAATCCAGCAATGTCAATTATATTATCCTAACTTTAATCTGAGGTATTATTTAATACTAAATGTTAAAAACTCTGGAAGGGAGGATTGGTGGGGGGTGAGGGTTGGGACTGACCGCGCGGTTGGAAGAGGGGGGGAGGCAAGGTGGGGTACTTTGATTGACAGATAGTGTCGTGAAGATTATTTTTTTTTTATTAACTGAAGATATTTGTTTTAGCTCATAAAATTCATACAAATTACCCGGTCAGAATATAATTTACATTGCTGGAATTCTTATAATTTGGTGATCATTTTGAATATAAACATCATATATTTTGCATTAAACATACAAATTTTAGATAAAATTTTTCTCTAGGTAACTATGTTATCTTTTGTGCAAAATATATGACATTTATATTCAAAATATTCCTGGTCTTACAAGGAATCCAGCAATGTCAATTGTATTATCCTAACTTTAGTTTGAGGTATTATTTATTAAAATTTAGTGGTTTTCCCCCAAAAATTTCTCTGAGAGGGAAGAGCCGGCAGTGTAGTGTGAGAGGGGGAGGGAGTTGAGTCCATTATTTGAATGGACATTAACTTGGCGACTGTATTTCTCTATTTCTCTTAAGTATTAATTGTGTGCATGTACCATCATAAAATTTAGATGTTATTTTTACTACAACATAGGTATGTGCCTTCAAAAAGTGGAGTTTGGGGGTCGGGCCGGTTTCTATTGGAATTAATCCCATATGTTCTGTTGTTCACTTAACGCGGATTTCACTTAACGCGGGACCCTCTGGGTTCAATTGACCGCGTTAAGTGGGGTACAACTGTACTTTTTAAAAAAGTAAATACTGTACCCAAAAATGTTACTTGAGTATAAGACTCGAGTAAATTTATTTAGTTACTTTACAACTCAACTGTATAGTGATAAAAGAATTATGATCCTGACACAGTAAAGATTTTGGATATCCAGACACCTGCACACCCAACTGCATAGAAAACAAACTCACATCATATGTTCACTGTAAATGGGAATATAAAACAAGACAATAAACATTCATATCACTTAAGTTGAAGTAAGTGGTTAGAGGGTACAATACAGTACTTGGCAAACTTCAATACTTGAACCTTAATTTATTAAAAATGTATTATTTAAAATAATCTTCCTAAAGTTTTAAACCAATTAACACATACCAGCAGTACAAATCATAATCAGCGAGGCAGCAGCAAGAAGCCACAACAGGTACTTGCGACGGTTTTCTTGCCTCTCCTTCAACACTGTTGACGCAGATTCTCTTAAGTGTTGACAAGCACAGCCACTATGAATCCAGGAGTTTTGTGGGGGATGCCTGGGTTAAAAATACATTATACATGAGCTATTAGTGAAGCTCAGTATGCGCTGCTGGAGAATTATTGTACATATGAAGCACAGCTAGAATTAATTTTCAATAGTACAAACATTCAATCTCCTCTAATTTGCCCTTCACAATAATTTGGACATTTTTGGAGATTTTGAATTATTTAGTAATTTTTTTTTTTAACTTGAAACCTAAATGCTTGAATTACACTGAAGGTGTCGAATATACCCCTTGTGTGTGTCCAATAAGTTGAAACTTGTGGTCCCACATGGAAGAAAACTGCCTTGGGCATAGTTCTAGAAGGATGCTTTGTGTGAGTGTTCTTGTGCAGGAGGGGGTCAAGTACAGTACTAATTTTTGCATGGTTCCCACATACCATTCATCATTTGTGTGGAAAAATAATGGCAAATCCCATGTCAATTGCTGAGATGCATGTTAGCTGTGCAGTGTGTCCAATGAACTAGGACAGATGTTAGAGAATTATAAAATCAAAACTACCCCACTTCCAACCCCAACCCAAAAAGCAATTCATTTACCTGGCTAAATATTCCATAGATTTATATACTTCACCATATAATGTATACTCGCATACAAGTTGACCTTTGGAGCCTCTAAAACTTCCCCTAAAACTAACGGTTATTTATATCCCTAATAAATTATTTGAACCTGGGTATAGGGGGTTTCTCTGTGCTGAATAAAACCAACTGGTACTTGCTGAATAAACTGTTAAAAGTGGCATCTCTTAGTTAAGGGGTTAGTTCCAGCTGTAGTTTTTTGTGGATAACATCCAAATTAGTGAACGGAAACAATCAATCACATAGTGTAGATGGTCATTATTTTGAATTAGATGTTTTAGTGTCTATATTTTTTACAGTTTACAGGTATAAAATTACATACAGTTTGAATCATAGAGATGACAGAACATTAAGTAATAAATTACCATGGTGATGGCAGCATGTACAGTACAGTTGCCTGTATATGTGGCAATGTCACAGTGATGGGTGAGTCATGAATTTCCAACAATTATGATGGAGAGCAATTGTGTCTTGAGTGAAAAGAAAGTATATCCTATAGGCATAATTGCCATTAGGGATAGTGTGGATACAGCACACTGTATACTAAGTCTTTCGGTACACAAGGAAGCAGCATGGCTGGTATACCATATTTGCCTGGTCCACCAGAACATAAATGGATGAAGTTACTGCTAATAAAACAAAGCTAGCTTGTTGTAATTTGTTTTTCTTTCTGTTAGTACAGTACAGTAGGGTCGGGATATATCGCGAGATAGGGTCCAACAATGTTCGCTATATATTAAATCACGATATATAATTACATGTAATCAATGGGGAAAATAAGGTTAGGTTCTGGAGGCAAAAAAAAATGACTAAACTTGACTTAACGAGTTAATTTTCTTACTAACTAAAGCACCAATGAACACTAGACTCAAGAACAACAGGCTATTTCAATATCAACATCAAGGAACACTAAACTCAGGAACACTAGACTCGGCAGCAGACACCACACTGCCACCCTCACTTAACAATCCCACACCTACATAAACGAACACCAAAAATATTAATTACAGTATTAAATCATTTCCATTAAGCTTTCCATTACCCTCACTTCACTTTTCACGTCACTAGCAACCCATTTACACTCACCTTAGAAGTCGTAATTTGCAGCAGAGTCGGCTGCTTTCTTGTCACTCACTCAGAAAGACTGAGCGGGCGAGCGTGAATGTGTGAGTGAGCAGCCACGGTGGCGCCTCTGGTGAGCAAATAACGTATTTGTTTGCCAGGCGGTACATTCGAAATATTTCCTGCCCGATTTCCCTCGCAAAATAATACAAATTACCGTTATACTGTATATAGGAAAATTTTGAGAATTTTGGTAGCCACGATATAAAAAAAAATCGTCATATAAAGTCGCGATATATCCCAACCCTACTGTACTGATGTTTTTCATGTATCATAAAGTACTGATACAATAGGGTATGCTATAACGAACGGATCCTACTACGAATATTCCTATAACAAACGGTTTTACCTATAAAATTGAGAATGCTATAACGAACGCAACTCCTGCAACGAACGCGGATGGATACGGGACTATTTCGCCTGGCGCATGAATATTGTTGTACCGCGACCCACAACAAGAGCGTCAGGCGCCATCTTTGTCTCATTGTGTAGCCAGTGCACCACTGTTATTGTTGAAATTTCGTCTTTTGATGTGGAAATAGAGTTATTTGTATAAATATTTTGTTATACAAGTGTACAATTGTGACAATGAATCGTCCAAAGCGAGTGAGAAAGCTCATAACTCTTGAAACTAAGAAAGAAATCATAAAGAAACGTGAGGATGGAACAAGCATTGCGAAACTTAGTGATGAGTATGGGATGGCTAAATCGACTATATGTACGATTTTAAAGAATAAAGAGGAGTTGAAAACAGTGCAAGTGGCTAAGGGAATCTCTAGACTTAGCAAAGCAAGGTGTAATGTGATTGAGATGGAAAATTTACTCTTAGTGTGGATAAAGGAGAAAGAAATGGCAGGTGATAGCATTAGTAAAGCTATAATTTGTGAGAAGGCCAGACAATTGTTTGAGGACCTTAAAGCCAAGACTCCCAGTGCAAGTGATAGTGATGTGCCAGTGTTTAGGGGTACCAAGGGGTGGTTTACTGGTTTCAGAAGGAGAAATAAAATACATAGTGTTGTGAGACATGGTGATGCTGCTAGTGCAGATAAGGAAGCAGCTAAGGAACACCATGACATTTTTTTTAATATTATTAAAGAGGGAGGCTTTGTTTCTCAGCAGGTATTCAACTGTGATGAAACTGGACTTTTTTGGAAAAAAATGCCTCGCCGTACATACATTACCAAGGAGGAAACTTCTGTCCCTGGCCATAAGCCAATGAAAGACAGGCTTACCCTCCTTCTTTGTGCTAATGCTTCTGGTGACTGCAAAATAAAGCCACTCCTTGTGTACCATGCAGAAAACCCCAGAGCTTTAAAAAACACTAGGAAGACCCGCCTTGGTGTTATGTGGCGGTCAAACCCAAAGGCTTGGGTGACCAGGAATTTATTCTCTGAGTGGGTGATTGAGGTGTTTGGACCCAGTGTTCGGGAATACCTCAGGGAGAATAATCTTCCACTAAAAGCTTTGTTGGCTTTGAAGAGTCAGAAGAAGAGGCTGTTGTTCATGAAATTGTGGCTCTGGGCAATTCCATGGGCCTGGAAGTGGATGATGATGATGTTGAGGAGTTGGTGGAAGAGCACAGTAAGGAACTGTCCACTGAGGAGCTGCTTGAGCTTCACAAAGAGGAAAATGAGACACTGAAGCGGAGCTTAACTTCTGAGGAGTCAGGGGAGGAGGAGGACAAGGAGGAAAGCCGCATCATTCCAGCCAAAGATCTCAAGGATGCGTTCTTTTGCTGGAGCAAACTGTCCAAACTTGCTGAGGATTATCATCCTGATGTTGGTTCTGTGCAAAAGGCCATCAGTGTGTTTAATGACAATGTTATGAACTACTTTTGGAAGGTCCAGAAATCAAGGTTGAAGCAGCCAACCCTGGATTCCTTCTTTACAAAGGTAACAAAAGAACCTACAGACAAAGTGCCTGTGAGACAGTCACCAAAGAGGGCTAGGAAGGATGACTCCTCTCCTTCCACCTCTTCTCCATAATTCTCTCCTCCCCCCTCCCCCTCTGCCTCCTGTCCTGCATGCCGAACAACACTAAGGTAAGATAAAGTACCGTATTTTTTACATTTTCCACAGACTTTTTTCAGTGTTAAGTGGTTGTATTTGGGGGCCTGGAACGGATTAATCCTATAACGAACGAATGCTATAATGAACGAGGTTCTGGAACCAATTAGATTCGTTATAGCATACCCCACTGTAATTAGAATAGCTGAAGTGTATATAATTTGTACCATGGGGTAAAAAAGCATTGTGATAAATCACTAAAGTGGTGACTACATGTACTGTACTGTGTTGTGTTTGGCATGGTATCGGTAGATAGCCAGAGCTTCAGGGGTAGAATTATAGAGTGAGTATTGGCCCAAACATGAATTTTGAGCTAAAAAACTGAAGATCAACTTATGTGCCAGCTGGGCACATATGCATTATCTTAATATATCATGATTTTTTTTTAAATTAATACAGTACACTTTTTCAGTACAACTGTAGAATATGTGTTTCAAACAAACAAATCATTCCAGACACCACTAGTGTACAGATTGAATTTTGAACACCTGTACTGTATATGAATATATGGTGGGTTTTTATAGAAAATAGTAAGTAATTTACAAAATATATTGATATACTATACTGTACAGTACAGTATTTTTTAATAAAATGTGCTGGAGGGAACATCACTGTAATTACTTTAGGTAAGCTTTGGTGTGTCTACACATACATGCTTAAGACAGTGATTAGATTTATCTTTAAATGTCTTAATACTGTACTGAAGCCCCTTAATCATAGTAAGCTGAATTTCTTCATACCATACAGTATTCAATACCATATTGATGTGCATTGTGATGGTCAAAAATAATTTATTAAATTTTTATTATACTTTATGTATAGTCCTTGGGGCTGGGAGGAGAAAACCCCTCCATTAAGGGAATCCTCCTAATAAGGGACAGAGCTTGCATGAATTAGTCTTGTATTAGGAGGGTTTACTGTATCTATTGGCAAATGCAGTAAGTGCATGATCCAATCCAAGCATTTACAAACCTTGGCAGAATGTTGCGGACACATGTGATGATGTAGAAGACAACTGTTGCATGACATGTCAAAATGAGGGTGAAGGTGGCGGGTCTTCCACCAATTTTCTGAACCCATCCCCCAAGCACTGGTCCTATAGTGCCACCAATAAACACCATACTCTCCAAGATTCCCACACGCACTGTTCTGGTGTTGAAGCTGCTGGCCTGTTGATATAAAATTTCATAAAATGTTCAAGAGTGAATTATGAAAATTATGATCCATTTATTAATACTGTACACCATGATTAAGAAAAAAAGCAAATAACTTAACCTCCATAATTGTAAGTTTAAGTTTTTGTAAACTGCTAAATGTACACCAATTCATGATTCATAACCCATTGGCTTCCAGCATTTTCAAATTTGTAATCCCCATATCACCTCTCATCCAACCTACCACCAGGAGGGGGCAGATGTTGATGTTTGGGTTATCTGCATACCATAGGGATGCAACTATGTACACCTGCTCTGCATGTCATTCTCAATCAGTAAAATGGGTACAAAATATAAAACATGGATACTCAAAACTGTGGCTCATAAACCTGTGGTTGGTGCAAGATTAATGTATACTATTGATATCCCAAGTGTGTTGTTCTTCTCACTCATAATACAGTCAACCCTCACTTTACGCGGTCCCACATTCCGCGTTTCCACGTTTATGTGGTACCCTGCCGGAACCCAGGATGCTCACATTCCGCGGTGCGTGTACCCCTTTACGCGGAGAATGTCCGGCTCGACGCTATTTTTAGATTCGCCCCTCCCGCCTGGGGCTGTAAGGTCGGCAGTGCATGTCTTCCGTTATCAGTGGCGTCATATGACGTGTCGGACTGTGATTGGCCGGTTTATGATTGGCCATTGCATCTACCTCCCTCCGCTGCTAGCTGTAATTGGTTTAAAAGTAATATAGCGTGTCCGCAGAGGGAGGAGGGAGAAAAACGGCAGCTTGACCTGGCAGCGGCAGTTCATCCCTCAGGCCACCGTATGTCGATGCATCATTGTTCTGTAAAATGGCTTCCGCCAGACCACCGCCCCAGAAAAACCTTTCCTTGCCTCGGACCCAGCCGCCCTGGCCAAGAAGACACGGCCGTTCCTTAAGCTCTGATGAAGTACAAGGTATCAGAGTTAGAAAGAACAGACAGGTTGATTTGAAAGCGCGCCAGCATGGTGCCAAGCAGAATCTCGATCCGAGACGATAAGAAGGATGCAGCCAAGATAAAGGAGCACATGAAAGATCACAAAGTCTGGTGCTTCTATGATCAAAACATTTCACAACCAGGTTAGCTATAAAGGCGGAAAAATTGCTTGTGAGCTGCAGTGCGTCAGGCGAAGACCGGAACATGGCGGTCGACCACGAGCTCTGTTAAGGAATGCGCCCGCGTGGAGCACAACATGCTGCAGTGTCATGAAAGATCAATTTAGAGCCCAAACCCTTTAATGCTTCCTCTGGGTGGTTGTAATAGGCCCTATCTCCATCAACCAAGGCATATTATATAAATGGGTCAATACATCTGATATTATATTCCAGATTCACCACCCTGTAACTTTCCACTGTCTATAGGTAAAGACATGAGATTGACACGTGAGCAGACAGCACTCCACCCAGGGCAGACCACTAAGCATTTCTGTAAGCCGCACTGCGATGCCCTTAAGCTTCAGTGATAGCTCACCTCAACTCATATCGTGGGGCCGTGACCTAGCAGTTTATTCATACTTAAGCTCACCTATGCACTCCCCACCTGGTCTTCCTCCCTAAATGCCACTGGCGTAAACACCTAGAAAAAAAGTGCAAAAGGGCGCATGCAAGATTATTCTTCCCTTCCTACTCCCACACATCAAGCGCTCAACACACACTGACCCTTTCGCTCTCACTGACCATCCACCACGACCTCATCTACAAATTTGGTAAGAAGCGCTACACCGTCGACACCGGCTCCTACTACCACCTGACATCCCCTGTCAGGTGCTGTTCGACACCACAACCGCATCCAGCCCATACATTGCACAGACGGTGGCTGCAAGAACAGCCCAGTCCAACCATTGTAAAAATTATCAATAACATGTAATAAATCAGTGTATTCACTCGGTAAACACTGCTCCTTACCACTGTCACTATGTTGGGAAATGAACTGTAGTTGAGCTGATCCCCATCTAAGTTATTATATGTCTTATTTGTGTCACTTATATTTACTTGTGTATATTATTTGTAATTCGTAACCCATTCCCCAAATATGTAACTGTAAATTTTTCAGCCTTCTGGCTGCCAAAGCTCTTCAATAAACGTTAATTATTATTATTATTATTATTATTATACATAAGCGCCGTCCCCTTCTCATTCCTCTAAGACAGTGAGACTTACAGTTGATATACGCAAATTATATACAACCTTTTATATAATAAAACAAAAGGAACTACCGTTTGGGTTTTGAATTTAGCAAACTAAATATAAATATATGTGAGCGGACTGGTTAATTGGACAACCTTGAATTCATATAAATTAACTTGGCAGTGTGTCGCAGTTCTTCAAACTGGTAGTCGTATTATCACCGTCTACCAATGTTTGTGAAAAACAAAACCACACAACAGTAATGGCGTTACTAATCCAGTGTTAAAACTATAACCCGTATTGAGGCTGTGATATTTGGTAGAAACTCCTTATCTCTATTACATACAAATCGTGCAGAATTAAGTAATATACATATATTACACGGCCTGTTAGTTACATATCCAGATTGAGCGGTTGAAATAGAGCCACTCAGCATTTTCTAGACATTACAGTGTTGCAGTGTTGAAGAAGGTTTAATAACCTGGACCCAACAATTGGTATTACTTCTTAGCTGAACCAAACATTGTTGTGTCGTCAGCGTGAATTACGAAGTTCGATTGACTCATCATGATCCTCCATATATCGTGGATTGTGAGACTTGGCACATGGCAGTTTAAGCAGCAACAGCAGCGAGCAGTGTGATAACCAATGTAGCAGTTTTCTGATGTGGCAGATACCCCTAGTTCAAGTGGACTCGTCTCTCACCCAAAACGAAAGCGTCTTCTGCGTTGCCAAAGAAACCAGCAGCAGAGCCGCATCCTAGGAAGAGCCCCACCCACCTCCACCCTCGACTCAGACCTCTTGAAGGATCACATTTCTATACAGGCGTACTACTCTGTATAAATAGGTATTTAAATTACATAATTCTACACATATGAACCACGTTCGAGATATCTTCACTGATAGGTTCGTCGGGATGGGATTATTTTCAATGATAAAGTGTCGAATGTAAGATTAATGTGAAATCCTATAATTTACAGTGGTTTGTAAGTGTCTGTCTTCTTATTGTTAGTTTAATGATTAACTTTACAATTTTATATTCATTGTCTTATAAATGAGGCAGTGATCTACTTACATTAAGTATTCATTGACCCAAAGAGGGGCTAATAGATAATTTCAAGTTTCCCATGTCTAATGTAGATGAAATCGAGCGTACTGTTTCTTATAACCAACTCATTGATAATTAAACAGACTGACATAGATTTGAGTATGGAACACAGTTAAATGAGTCGGTAAGAAGTAGTGAAAGTTATGAAGCGAATCATTTGGCCTGACTTAAACCCGTCGTGCCCTACGGTCTGGTAATCACTATAGTGCCTCACCTAGAATATACTAAGCAGTTACCCCTGTTACAGGTGATGGTATTTTCGTCGGTAACAACCTTATTAACCAGCCTTCTGTTGGGAGTAAGAATACTAACTTGTATCACTAACACTATTAGTCCTCTAACCCCTCACCTAAATGATAATGTTATTAATATCATGCAGGCAGCGGTGACTATGTTCAAAATTTTCACAGGACAAGACGATTACTGGTGCACATTTATTGGGTACGTATGAAATGCTTATGCGCCCAATAGTCACCTCTTGACTAATGAAAAGCATATGCGTTCCCCATATAGCATGGAGTTCCTATGCAGGCAGTCGTTTAAATGTGTTTGGTTTTGCAATACACAAATATGAAAGGATTCATGAAAGCAGCTAATTGGGATTTTTTGGGGGTAGGTCACAGCTGGGCCAACTGCAATGGATCTTCAAATGGTTGGATACATGTATTCCCAGGTATCAAAACAACGCCTGTTAGCGCTGTTGACGGTACGGTAGAGTTACCGCCAGGACATATAGCGACCTTCTGGTCCTCGAGCTGGTACAAGCTCACGGGGTGATATACACGGACAATAGGCATTGATGGCGACTCATAAGTTTCTTCTTTCAAATCCGTGGTTACCAGAAATAGCGGGCACAGGAAGTACAGTATAGACCTGCTTGGATATGGTGGAATACGCCAAACAAGCTCTGTCCCCAGGCTACGGAGGCTGCACGACAGCCTCAGTCACTGGCCCCCAGCCCGTCTCCAGATGCATAGATGCCTGCTCCCAGACTCCTTATGCGACACACTTTAGCTCCGTTTATACTCCCTTAAAGTAAAGGGAGGATGTTTAAATACAGAGGTAATAGTGCAAATAAAAGCCACACACCGGTGCAAAGCCATTCTCAAAGGTCCAAACGGTGAGGCCGTAACTCTCTGCAGAAAGCGGCGCCAAATGGTGCGCTCTTCACAAATCAACATCTCATAGTTCGCCGAGTGCGATGTGCTAATAAGGGCTAGAGTGGACCTTAGTAAAATGAGGGTGTAAATATAGCGCAAGCAGAAATGTCCCTGGACAAAGTCATCGAGGGAAGACCAGCGCACACCACAGCGCGGAGGGATAGATGGGGTAGTTCACCTCCTCACAACGCACTTCTATAAGCCTCATTAGTAGACTTACAGCAAAGTGGAAGTGTTGTGTCAGTGCGGTGAGAGTGGATAATACCAGATTGGCTCTTGATATAGATAGGGTGCTTGGCAGCTAATGTGTTGGCGCCCGACATCATATGGGTTAGTAGTTTCCCTCACCGCAGAACCAAATGGAGGCTGGTAAGCTGAGCTCGAAGGGTTCAGGTACTCAGCTGAGCATCAAAGGAATGGTGGCGTTACCACTCCAGATTCAAGGCGTGAATGCGCCCTTCTCTGGCGGACTTTATATAGTTCCAGCAGTTCAGTTTGCCAGCTAATGGTTGCGGTCTACCGCTCTTCGAAGAACATGATAGATGTTCATCACGTAATAATAAGTATTCGTTTAAGG